TCCCATGGCCCCCGAAGCCAGCGTGAGCGCACGCACTCAGGGCTGGAGCTGAGGAAGGGTCACTGCTCCCCTCCCCACCAAGGCTGGGCCGCCTTTCCCAGAGCGCCCCACTAGGGGGCAGCACAGCCACACAAAACATCACAGGCAGGCACCCCCCGAAAACACACTCGCACACCCCCATGCCCCTGCACAGTCACACAATCACAGGTGTGCACCCTCCCCAAAACACACACACGCACCCCCAAACCTCGCACCCTGTCACACACAATCACAGGCGTGCACGCACCCTCAACACACACACACGCACCCCCATGTCCTGCACACTGACCCGCACATGCACACACCCCATGCCCTTCTACATACACACACGTGTGAACACACAAATTCAAGGCGCACAGACATCCTTGCCCTTGGGAATCCAGATGCATACACAAACCCACGTACCGCCCACGGCCACACCCACGCGTGCACACGCTCACACAAGCAGCACAGCCCCCGCACGCTCCCGCCCAGACTCTGCCGCATCGCGCCTCTGCCTGCCCCCCACTCCGCACCCCAGCTCCCCTCCCCCGCTCCAGCTGTACCTCCTTAAACTTGTGCACCAGCTTCTCGGGGTCCATCTCGACGGGGGACAGCATGTCCTCGTTCCTGTCACACACAATCACAGGCGTGCATGCACCCCCAAAACACCCACACCCCCCCCCATGCTGCTGCACACTGTCACACACAATCACAGGCGTGCACAAACCCCCAAAACACACACACACACCCCCATGCCGCTGCACACTGTCACACACAATCAGTCATACACAAACCCCCAAAACACACACACGCACCCCATGCTCTGCACCCTGACACACAATCACAGGTGTGCACGCACCCTCAACACACACACACGCACCCCCATGTCCTGCACACTGACCCGCACATGCACACACCCCATGCCCTTCTACATACACACACGTGTGAACACACAAATTCAAGGCGCACAGACATCCTTGCCCTTGGGAATCCAGATGCATACACAAACCCACGTACCGCCCACGGCCACACCCACGCGTGCACACGCTCACACAAGCAGCACAGCCCCCGCACGCTCCCGCCCAGACTCTGCCGCATCGCGCCTCTGCCTGCCCCCCACTCCGCACCCCAGCTCCCCTCCCCCGCTCCAGCTGTACCTCCTTAAACTTGTGCACCAGCTTCTCGGGGTCCATCTCGACGGGGGACAGCATGTCCTCGTTCTCGGCCAGCTCGAAGACCTCGATGGCCATCTCGCTGCTGGGAAACATGGGGCTCATCTCCTCCTCCTCGTCTGTGGCATATTCGCCGGTCTGCGGGCACAGAGCCGGGCGCTGCTGTGAGCCGCCCCCAGCAGCCACCGCGGCTCCCGAGCCAGCCCCGCCTGGGCTGCAGGGTCAGGACAAGGACCCAGTGTCGCTTAACGCAGGGGCGGGGGCAGGTCCCGGCGCTGCTGTGACCCCCCTGGATGGCCCCAGGGTGCGCTGCTCCCTGCAGGGTCCATGTGGGCGGGCAGGGCAGGAGAGCTGCCTGGTGGGACCACGTGGGGGGCACTCAGGGCCCTGGGGTTGGGCTGTTCCAGGGACCAGCACAGAATTGGAGCCCCAGCGATGGGTGCCCTGCTACCTGGCGGACCCAGGGGCTGCAGGACGGGGAGGGGGCAGGCAGAGCCTTCAAAGCTCCATGAAGCTGC